GCGGAGGGAGGGAGGGAGGGGACGGGCAGCCTGACAGCAACGGCTGCGGCCGGCGCTCGCCGCCCCCTCCCCGGGGACGGCCGGCCGGGTCGGCCGCCGAATTCTCGGGCCTCGGAGGGCAGCCGGGACGCGGCGCCGGCCGGCAGACGGGATCGCGGCGCCGGGGCGCCACCCCGGCCGGCGCGGCGGGAGGAGGCTGTCTAGACGTCGGGCGGCCCGCGCCCGCCTTCCCCGCCCCCACGGGAGTCTCGGGCCTGCGGAGCTCGCGGGCCGCGGGGCGCCCGCTGGGGCCCTTGCCGTGCGGAGCTGGCTTGACCCCTGAGCTTACGAACCGGGCACCGGGGACCGAGACTCACCTGTGTGGCCAGTGGCCCTGGACGCTCGGCTGCGGGCCTGCGCTCCACCTTTCCCGCCCCTCCACCATCTTTCTTTTCTGTTTGTTTTTGTGTTTTACAGTAAAGGCATGACTTCCCGGCGCCGCAGGGAAAATAGGGTGCAAGCCCAGAAACTGTTTCCCCACCACCACCTGTTGAAAAACTGATTCGAAGGCGTCTCCGGGTCTGAACAAACGGAAAGTTGCTAGGATTGGATGCGTCTGTAGTTTTGCACCGGAAAACCTTCACTATTTAATATCAAGGAAAAAAATTGGAAATTAAACTGGTAAACATTTCGACTTGAAAACTTCTGAGCAGTTTAGTTTTGCTCTAGTGAACTGCTGCTTAGCTTTTGTTTGCTCTTGACGCTTAACTTTTTAACTTCCTCTTTTGTTTAAAGTATTTCTGACTTCTGAAAATACATGTAACCAAGATCTTGGCCTCTCTAGAGGTGATTATTTGCATCAGCAGTATCAATAACAAACCTTTCAAGGTAAAAGACCGGAAAAGTGCAGGCCTCACTTGCACTTGCTAAGTTTGTGGTCCAAGTACTTAAATGTACTTGCACAGAAAAGATTCTAAGCTGTACCCCAAAACAAGACTCGGGGTTTTTCAGAACTGTCTTGTAGCTGCTACTGGTTACTAGAACAGGTTTGTTTCATAGGTAGAAAATACTTATAGAAGTTGCAGGCCTTGGTAATGGTAATTCTCTGAGTATTGGGCAAGATTCATCATCTTGTCTGTCTTTTGTGTTGTGGAAAACCTATACCCTAACACAAAATGTGACAAGAAAGACTTATGTGCCAAAGATGTAATGGGGTGGAAGTCCACAAGAAATTAATGTTTAATTCTATACTTTCTGTATCTTAACAGAATTGCTAGGTCCTCTACTTTGGGTCCATAGAGTTTCCTTAACATACTGACAAAAGTTGAAAGAATCTTGGTATTTCCCAGCAGGTAGACAGATGGAATGGGATCCTCCATGGTTTGATATTTTACTCATAAAAACTAATTCTTCAGACATTTAGAGATACTTCTTTAAAAGCAAAATTATTCCATTTGAAATTTATCATTCAATTTAGTATCTTAAGTCTGGATTATTATAAGAAGTTCCCTCAGAGGCATGGTCCCAGGGTTGTAAAACAATGAAAGTACATGCATTATCTTGGGTTTTTAGTGCTTGTAAGTTTATGAAGCTGATGGTCCCATGACAGATTTTAAGAAGTTTGTTGGACTGGTGAGATGACCGAAGAGTAAAGGTGCAAAGGGAAATCCAGCTTCCTCTAGTTGTCCTCTGAGCTCCACACATGTGCCATGCATGGGTGCTCACCACACATTTATATATACATGCATACACCGTAAATGTAGGAAGTAGAAAGCAGCCAGGTGTCATAGCACATGCCTGTAATCCCGACAACTCAGGACACTTAGGAGGATTTCACATGAAAGCCAGCCTGGACATCAGGGTTTTTTTCTGCTTTGGTTTTGGTTTTTTGAAGCTTGTTATTAGGCTAAATTGAGTATTAAGCTGTTTCTAAATTATATATTTGGATAAATAGTTACTTAGGTTTTTGTTTTTATTACTTGATTTTTTGGCTTTTTTCTGTTTTGTGTTTTTTTGTTGCGGTTTTCGTTTGGTTTGGTTTGGTTTGGTTTGGTTTGGTTTGGTTTTCTTTGCTGGGGTCAAACCCAGAACTTGGCTCATGCTAGGCAGTTCTCTGCCACTAATGTACACCCAGCCATTCATTTACTTTTTCAAACATCAAGTTTTGATTGACTCCCTCTCACATACTGGCCACATATTAAGAGAAATGAAATAACTTATTTTGCCAGGCATGGTGTCAGGTACTTTTAATCCCAGCACTCAGGAGGCAGCAAAGATAGGTCAATCTATATGTCTACATAGTGAGACCCTGTCTTTGTTTTATTTTTGAAGACAGGGTTTCTCTGTAACCCTGACTGTGCTGGAACTCACTCTGTAGAACACCCCTGCCTCTGCCTCTGGAGTGCTGGTATTTAAAGGCATGCACCACCTGGCAGTGAGATCCTGTCTTAAGTAAGTAAATACTTTTTTTCAACTATATATAGGCCTCAAGCTTTAATACCATTGTAAATAGTTAGACTTACTTTATGCTTTTTGTTAGTTTTTGCTTGTTTATTTCTTCAGAAAACAAGTTTTTCTACAAAGTTTATACACAGTTGAGTTCTCAAAAGTTTCCCCAGCAAGAAGTTCTTTAACTTGAAGTTATGTCTAACTTGGCCAAGATTATTAGTATTATTTCTACTCGAATGTTTGCTGTGATTGTGATTTTCTACAAGATAGATAGAAAATAAGTTGAGTTATTTCTTCATAAATCTAATTTATTTGTCATAAAAATCAAGGTATTAGGAAGTTGGACTAGCAGGTCAGGTGTTTCCTGTGCAAGTATGTGGACTTGAGTTCATATTCCCAGTATCCGTGTAAAAGCTGGTCTCAGCGGTATGTGTCTGTAATCCCAGATCTCGATTTTGTTAGAGATGCTATTCAGAAACAGTTAGATATACATATAGGTATGTACCACGTGCACACAAATGTTAAGGAATGTTGAACTACTTTCTGATGGTTTGCTTCAGTTTTGTCTTCCTTGAATATTTCAGATGAGATTTTAAAAAAACAAAATGTATCGATTTATTTATATAAATGTAAAAACCTTCGTGGTAAAATTAAATAACAGAATTTTCCGGAAACAAAAGAGAAAAACAACAAAAAGAAAACAAGACAATCTACAAATTAAATTAATTGTGAACCACTTCCTGGTTTTCATATTTATAATGCATGTTATATAAAGACCTCTTAAGAATGACCTTACTTCAGTTCCAGCTGAGCTCACAGGTAATCTTTAAACCATGGGAATTTAACTAAAAAAGAAAGTCCTCAACTTGTTTTCAGAGAAAGAAAAGGACTTGCTTTGTTTCCGCATGATGTCAGTGGACTTGTTAACAACAAAAATACTGTAATTATGCTACCTACAAGTAGAATTAAAGGGAAAAAAATTAACCCGTGATGTCCACATTTCAATAATCTACAATTGCAAAACATTATCCAAAGAATCTAAAGTGTATCAAGCCTCCATTTAAACTATTATGCAATCAGTTTGTGATAGTATACCTAATAACACATCAAAATCATTTTAGTCTCAGGGATAAAGCACCTTGCTGGAGTGTTCAGATAAAAGATATACACCCTGCAAATTGAATAAAGGACTTTTGAAGGACACTGGGGATCATTGAATTAACTTTGGTCGGTCTTGTGGGGAATGAGTGGAGAGAAGCTTTAAACTTTAACTCTTCATTGCATTGCGTTCTTCATTGCGTTTTCAAAGCATTGAAAACCCAAATTTTATTAACTAATTCTAGAATGAACTATTACCATAATGCTTACATCTTTCTCTTGTCTTAGAAGAACTTCATTCAGAGTCAAAATGGAACGATTCGTTGTGACAGCACCACCTGCTCGGAATCGTTCTAAGACTGCTTTGTATGTGACCCCTCTGGATCGAGTCACGGAGTTTGGTGGTGAGCTTCATGAAGATGGAGGAAAACTCTTCTGCACTTCTTGCAATGTGGTGCTGAATCATGTTCGCAAGTCTGCCATCAGTGACCACCTTAAGTCAAAGACTCACACAAAGAGGAAGGCAGAGTTCGAAGAGCAGAATGTGAGAAAGAAGCAGAGGCCCCTGACCGCATCCCTTCAGTGCAACAGTACTGCGCAGACAGAGAAAGGCAGTGTTATCCAGGACTTTGTGAAAATGTGCCTGGAAGCCAACATCCCCCTGGAGAAGGCTGATCATCCCGCAGTCCGAGCGTT